CCACCTCTGTTTCACCCAAGTTAGAGCACAGTGTGGAAGGAGACACTTAGGTTTGCATGGCCTTAGTCAAGGGTGGGGCCACTGAGGCATCTGCCCCATCATCCACAAGTGTAGGAAGCAGCCTCGGTCACAGAGCCTAGTTCTAGGGAAGCCCAGTGGCCCAGGCAGCCTGGACATCCACGCACCATTCCTCACATGCTCCCTGTTTGTTGTCCCCAACTTTCACTTCCCATCTCTGGGATACCAGTTCCCAGGGTGTGGTATAGAGGACCTATGTGAAGTGATTTTTTGCTGACTGGGCATATGTTATTTGGTTCATGCCCTTCAGACTTTAGGTGAGAAGACAGGTACCTCACAGGTTTTGTCACCAAGTGAGTTACTGATCCAGCTGGGGCAATAACTTAGGGCTCTGCTGCTCTTTTACTCACTCAGTTGCTAGATAGGTGACAGCTGATTTCTGTTTGCAGGACCCCTTCTGGCTTCTGCCCTCCATTTAATTCAGAGCCACAGCCTCCTGGCTTTGCTATTCTCAAGACCAGGGATGGGAGTAGGTCTGGGAAAAGATTCCTCAAATCAGCATGATGGCACAGTGGCTGACCTTGTGGCTGAACTTAGGTTTGCTGCTTTGTGTGTGTGTGTGTGTGTGTGTGTGTGTGTGTGTGTGTGTGTGTGTGTGTGGTGTGTGTGTGGTGTGGTTTGTGTGTGTTTCCTCTAATGAGTTACAAGTTCCATTTACCCCACCTTCAGACAGAAAAAGAAGCAGCCATGTAAAGTAAGGACACATACCCGGTCATATTTTATCTCTAGAGTCATATTCTATCTCAGGTCAGAAAACTGAGGCTTTGGAGGGGTTGGTATTGCAGGCAAGGCCATGTGCTGCTGACAGAGAGCCTGGCACAGAGTGGGCTGCTCAGCAAGTGCCTCTGTGAATTGCTAAATAAATGAAGAATACAAATTGCTTTCTATTTTCAAATAAAAAAAACAAAAAAGCACCCGCGTTCTGAGCGATTAGCATGAAGAACTACAATGACTCATCCCCTCTCTAACATCTTAATATTATTCCCATTCTAGAGATGAAGAATCAGAGGCATAGAGAGGTAAGCGGCACCCCAAGGCCGTACAACCACAACCAAAATGAGGAAGATATGAGATCTGAATCCAGTCACTGTGGCTCCTGCCACCACACTATGCCAAACTCTGTACAGAGGCTTTGTTACAGGAGCCGTTTAAGAGCTTTCTGGACTGCAGGCAGCATTCTGAATGCATTGTTGAAGATGGCATTCATTGGCCACAGGTAGCTCTTAAGCCCTTGAACTATGACTGGAGTGGTGAGTGACCGCTTGGTGTGCCAAGGGAAGCAGTCCACCCCACACTCAACATTGGTTGTCACAAGCTCTGAACCGTAGTCAAATAACTAGCAGCAATCCCAAGCCTAGGGAGTCAGATCTGGCCCCAGTGGTCAGATCCTTCACCTGCCCTAGAAACAAAGAAGTCAAGCAGCATAGAGATGACAGAGTCTCACCTTTAGGATCTAGGCCACACCATGAGAATGGGGAGCACCGAGACACTTCTGACCACCAAGACTTTTGTCTCTGTCCTTTCTGCCCTTCATCACTGTCCACTTTCCCTCACCTACGCACCATGACTGGACTACACAGTTTGTGTACATAGGGAGAAAAATCTTGCCCATGGCTCTGCACATTGAGCAGAGGACCTCCAACCCCTTGGGCATGCTAAGTCCTCCAACCCATCCAGCTCTTGATCCAGACTTAGACTCCCCACCTTGGGGCTTACTGGTGATGGCAATGCCTTCATCCATGCCAGGATCTTGGCGCAGAGCCTGCCTCCTGTGCTGCTGTCAGCTGGTGTGTGTGCAGGGAGTGCAGACTAATTTTAATATTGGCCGGAGCTAAACCTCATTAGAAAAGTAAATTTGCTGTAGCTGCAGGGGAAGAATGCAAGCAATCCACACAACCTTCCCAAAGCTAAATAGAAAACACAGGGTTTAGGCTGTTTGATGCAATATGTTACCAGGTGCAGAGCCTGGGACACAGCAGGTACTTAGAGTCAATGCAAGTGAACTGAATTCTGGGTGATTTCTGGCCATAGTCACATTTCAGCATGGAGGATAAATGGTCATGGATGTAGAGTGCTTGTAAATCCCCCCCAAATTTTAGACAACCATTTTCTGGTACTATGGAATGATTACAATGAAGAAAAATCACTAGATACGAAAATATCATTCTTGCTGCTTTTTAGGGGAGAGATACTCTGGGTAATTTGATTCTGTTTGAGGAAGAGTTGGGTCCAGTTCAAAGTTAGAAGTTAGATAACTACATGGGTTAAAGGTGGGAGGGAGACTGTAGAAGGTGTGAAATAGGGAGAGGGGTCTCTAAAGAGGGTTTGGATGGGGCCAGCCTGAACTGCCCAGCCCTGACTACTGGCCTTCCAATTCTAGAGCTGTCCAGATTCTGGGAGAGTAGGGCAGGGAAGGAGAATGCATACAATATATAAATTAAATTACTGTTCACAGCCCTGGGACTTAACTGTTTAAAAAACGATGGTCCCCAATTTACAGACTGTCAGGACAACATCCCTTTCAAAGTTCACTTAGCTGGGGATGGAGGTACTGAATTGTAAGACCTGGATGAGCCTGTCTAGTGGCCTGTCTCTTCTGGACCATGACCATGATGTCTCCTTGCTGGCCTCTGGAGATTTCCAAAGATTTTGGAGCCCTGGCAAGTGCTATACAGAGAAGGGTTCTCTTCCTGTTCCCTAGGTGTCTGGCTTTTCCATGCTCTGCTTTCTTCCCCATTGTACTACATTCCAGGACCAGGTAAGATTGGCGAAAGCCAGAAGGTGATCATTCCTGGACACAGGGCAATGGCGCAGTAGGGTCTCCTTCACACTCTTGGAATACTTTGCTCTCGAGTCCATGAACTGTCCCTGCTGTGAGACACCCTGACTCCAATCTTTCTCAGTACAACAGTCCACCAGCTCCAATGTTGGGATGCTATAGACTTGCAGAGGAAGACTTCATACTTCAACGTCTGCTGTACCTTAGTACCTTATCTAAGCTTTCACTCTCTCCTTCTTGTTGCCTGTCTCAGGCCCTGATCTCTTCTTTTGCTAAGGCCTCACCTCTCCTACAGCTGTCAGTCAGAGAAGCACCCAGGAATCCTCATTCCTTCTCTCCTAGCCACATGGGGCCACCAGAATTCCTGGCTCAGAACCTGGAAGGGTTAGCTTGCCCTCTTCCATAGCTTACCCTTGCAAAAATCTCATCCCATTGGGCTCCATATCATGAAGGCAAGGTAGACTTGTTCCTCTCCCCTGAAAACTGCAGGAAAAAAATCCAAGTCTATTGAAAAGCCTGAGCAGAAGAAGTGGGCTTCTTCCTTTGGGAAGCTGCTCTCTGCTACAGGCTCCCATTCTGTGGTTGAGTTCCCTTTAGTGATTTACCTGCCTCCAGCTTCAGGTGGAGAATTCGGTATTACTGCATCCAGAAACATGCACATATCCAACCACACCTACAGGCACATGATGATCCCCAAGCAACAATACAAATAGGAACAGCAAAACAATGGCTTCCATGCCAAGCGGGGCACAAATGCTTGCATTTTTGTTGTTGTTATTGAAAGGGGCAGGAAGGAGGTAGCAAGCAACTCCAGGACCTTTGGGGACCCTGAAAGTGAACTGAGCAGAGTGGGAGGTTTCTTGAGAGTTTCGTGGGGAAGGATCTTTATCCTGCATGAACACAGAGAGGACTCAACGTTTGGTTCAGGGAAGCCAAGAGAGCTCACCAACTGAGCAGGCTCTAAAAAGAAATGCCTCCCTCTGTAGTGAGTCTTGCCAGAAGAGAGACGTAAGGATGGAAGAGCTAGAGCAACAGCCCTACACTGCTAAATACCCACCACTACACCAGTCACTTATGAAGCTGTGTGCATGCCATTTACACATACACCCCCACCCCTCACCCCTTCACCCCATACCCTCATCACACCATTGTTTCTGTGCTAGGCACATGGATGTCCACCTCATTTGATTGAAACTGTATGCCAGATTGTCCAAGATCAAGATCTTACTGGGCACTCCAGCTAAACTGGTCTCCATAGAGAAGTACTCCTCAAGCATGGGGGGGGGGGCACTGTCAACAAAAGGTCCCTTTTAGGGTCCTATGCAGTAGAAGTCTGGGGCTCATCTCAGCTCCAGCTTCTATAAGCTATCCAGAGGGTGTGTAACTAGGACTACATCTGGCTGGGTGAGAAAGTGGTAGCTGGTCAAGATCAACATTCTGTGTGCCGGTGAGTAGATGGGGTCTTAACCTGAGCTGCTCAGTAGGAGGCTGGCACCCCAGTTTCCTGAGGTGCTGGATGGAATACTTTCTTTCTTGTCTCACATCTTAGTTTCCTTTTCTGAACTTGGTATGATCAACTTCACAGAGGAAGGTGATGATCTGGTGGTCCTGCCTCCTTTCTCTCTGCTGCACTGAAGGATTTGCTGTCACTTTTGACATCTCTCAGTGCATCAGCACCCACAGAAAAGATGCAGCGCTTGGCTTCCCGGAAAAGAATTAAATTGTAAAAGCCCAGGAGAGGAGAGCGGTTGCAGGGGTGCGGCTAGAGCTGGCCCCCCCAGTCCAGCAGGGAACCACCTGCTGAGGTGGCAACGGACAGAATAGCTAAGAGAAAGACCAGTTGTTTGAAGACTCTCAGAACCAGTTCTTGCCTTCATCCTGATGGAGCGGGGCAGGCAGCGTCCTAGCTTCATTTCCTAGCCCCCTCAGGTGCAGGCCCTGGCAGTCGGCCCTCTTTCCCCGTTTGTCCCCGTTTTTTGCAACACACACACACACACACACACACACACACACACACACACACACACACACACACACACGCCCCGCGCGTGCACGAGATCGGACATGGCGTGGGTACTGTTGGGGACACATAAAGGGGCTCTGTGCACCGCGGCGATAGGGGCGCGGGGCTCGGGACACTGACCTGCGGCGGCGAGTCCATATCGTCCCCCGCGCGGTCCATCGCGGGTGGCAGTCCTATGCTCTGGCCCCAGCGCCCCAAGGTTGGTGCTGTGCGATGCGCGCGCTTCTCTCTCGGGGCGTTCTCCGGCTCCGTGCCCTCGGGGGCCACTTCATAGCCGCGGGCCCGCTCATCCACCACCCCAACCTGCCCGCTGCCACCGTCAGGCTGCTTCTGGGCTCAGCCAGGCGGCGGCCGGAGCCTCGGAGCGCTCGGGAGGGCGCGGGCGGCGAGGCGCGGAGCGGCGCTAGGAGCTCCAAGAGGCGACGCGCGGGCCGGCCGGGCCGGGGTGGCGGGGCGCGCGGCCGGAGCCCAGCAGAGCGGGCCAGCGCGTGGTGCCCTCGGCGCTGGCGGCGGATGCGCGGTGCGGCCGCGGCTGTGACAGCGCCTCCCGCCCCGCCCCGCCCCCACGCACCCCGCCCCCGCGAGCGCGAGCTGCCGGCGGGACCAGAGCCACTAAGCGGTCCGTACCAACCTCGCGGGCTGAGGCGGGGGCCGACGCTGGACCCATCCCCGAGCTTGGTATCACCTAAACGCGCTCCCCGCAGTGGCCCTCCTGCTTGGGCGGCTTGGGCTTTGGGTGCTAGAGCGGCCGCGGGCGGGGCCCAGGGTACCCCAGCTTTGGCTCGAGGGACGAGGGCACGCACGCCCGTCCTCCCGCACCCCTAGCCCAGTCGCCTTCATCCCTCCATCCTGGCTGCTCAGGCCCTTGGCTTGGCAGCCTCTCTCAATGGGCGATTGTTTCAAGGCTGGGATGCTGGGGTTGGGGGTGGTGGCGTGGGGATGGTTCTGTGGGACTAAGGCTGAGCTGGAAACGAAGGAGGGTGCGGCCTCCAGCTTGGTTTCGGACAATCCGAAGTGGATACAGGGCTGTTTGTATGGGTTGGAGATGGGAGTCCCCAGGAGCCTGCCAATGGGGTAGCCCCACCTGTGGGCACTGTTTCTTTCATAAGGATGTGTCAAGCTGTTGAGTGTCACTTTCTCATCTCCTGCCCCACGCACTGGGCATTCTAACAAGGAAGCAGGAGGTATTGCCTAGTGCAGAGGAGCCAAGAGATGGCCAAGGTGGGTGGGCAGGCCATCCAGGAATTTCTCAGCACTGGGGGGCTGGGAGGCAGAGAGCAGTGTGTGTGTGTGTGTGTGTGTGTGTGTGTGTGTGTGTGTGTGTGTGTGTGTGTGTTCGCACAGAGGCCATGCAGTCATCCAGCGGGAGGTTTCTAAATGCTTTTGTCTTCTTGCCAGAGCCTATGACACCATCCATGTACCTTCAGGTTCACATTCCAGACAGTCCTCACTGATACCTGAGGTCAGGGCCTGCAGCTCTGTCCTCTTCAAAACTCCAAAAGGCCAATTCTTTGCTCTGTCTCCTCCTTTCTTAATCCAAAGATCCACAGCTAGGCATTGCTGGATCGAGCCCACAGGACTTCTCTCTCACCTCAGCTTGCTGCTCATCTTGGGTGATGGTGAGAGCTGTAGAAACTCCAGAACCACTTATGTTGTTCAAGACTCTGCGGATGTGTAGGAGCCACTGTCCACACCATCCCATAGATGATAGAAAAACATGATTATTGTCTCTAGGGAGAGACTTCTTCCAGAATCTTTCCCCCTTACTCCGTGCCATGGAGCTCAGGGTATGCTGCCCTTCTGCATCTCCCTGAGTTAACCAAACTACTCACAATTACCAAATGGCAGGGCAGACATGGCCTTGGAGACTGGACTCTTAACCAGCAGGAAAACTGATGGCCCAGACAAGACCATTTGTGTGTGGGGTCATACCCACTCCTCATCTCTCCCCCAGGACTATGCCCAGTTCCCAGCTGGGAGTTCCAGAGAATGGAGTAATGAACAAGTAAAAGACACTAGCTAAGTGTCTTGGCCAAAGATCACCTTCTGGGCCTATCTCTTCAGCAGTAAGACAGACTTGCAGTAAGCTATCAGACTCTTGTCTGGTCCCACAAGGCTGTGGCCAGCAAATGTCCTCAGGTTTTTTTGTGGGATGGTTATCCCTCTAGCTTGGGGTTCAGTCAGATACAACAGGAATGGTGCAAGTTTTATCCCATCATTCCTGTGAGAACAGCAGTGATAATAAAACCCCATTCTGGAGTCCTGTCTTGAAAGTTAGCCTCAGGCTCTGTTTATCGTGCTTTTTAAAAATATTAATTTATAAAGCCAACTTGAAGCAATCATGTGATATTAAAATTAGTATGAGAAAGGCAAAAGATTTATACGATCTAAAGAGAAACCAGAGAAACCATCCTGAATGAGGTAACCCAGTCACAAAAAGAGGCACATGGTATGTATTCACTCATATATAGATTTTAGACCTAGAGCAAAGGATCATCAGCCTATAATTCACACCACCAGAGGAACTAGGATTCAAGGTTTATTCTAAGTGATTCATATAAAGTCCTTCACAGAAGGGGGAAGGGACAAGTCCCCCAGAGCACAGGGGAAGTGGGGGGGGCAATGAATGCAGAGAGAAGTTGGAGAAAGAGAAGGGGAGGAGAGGAAAGCATGTGTGGCTAGGAAGATTGAGTCAGGGTAGGAATAGAAGACAGAAGAGAGAGAGAGGGAGAGGAAGAGAGAAAACATAAAAGAGGGAGTCATTATTGGTTTGAAGAGAAAACTGAACCTAAAGAAAGGTCTAGAGACCTACAAGACTGCCGCCAACTAACAATTTGAGCAACCATGGAAAGGCTACCACAAATGCCCTTCCCAGATAGTGAGATCAACAACTAATTTATGGAGCCCTCATCTAGTACCTGTTGGAAACAGAAGCAAACACCCATAACTAAACACTGAGTCGACCTAGAATTCAGATGCAGAGGGAGAGGACAAGACCAGGTTGCAGAAACTCATAGAGACAGCTTTCCTGAACAAGGAGGAGCTAACGGGCCCCTAGACTGATAGCTGGGAATCCAGCATGGGACTGACTCAGGCCCACCTGAATATGGGTCTCAGCCAGAAGTACTGAGCAGTCTAAGGGACCTTAGACAGTGGAACCACGATGTATCCCTGGTGCACAAAAGAACCTTGTAGAAACATCCCCCATGGAGGGATACTGCCTTAACCTAGAGACAGGAGAGAAGCCCTAGTCCCTACTTCAAATGACAGATCTACATGACCCCACCTGGATGGCATTGCCCTACATGTGGAATTGGGGTGGGGGGATGGGAAGGGAGGGTGGTCAGGGTGCATGTGAAGGGGCAGAGAGGGTAAGAGGGAGGGAGGGAGACAGAGAGGGAGGGAGAGGGAACTGGGATCGACATGTAAAAAAAAATTAGTATGAGAAGGCTCAGTGAAGAAACAACTGCTTGCCTTCATTTTGGCAGTATTCCACATGTGTGGAACCACAGAAACACATGTCTGGGTATACATAAAGTTATGTACGTAGAGGCAGATACACAAGCACAGAAAAATGAGTACAAACAATTGGTTTCTATCTACCTCATATGCATGTGCACGTGTGAATGTGTGTACAAACCTGCCCCACCCCCCCAGTCCTTCTCCAGCCCTAGTTGCCACTTTCCTAGTTACCACTTTGTCTATGGAACAGCAGCAGTGTTTCCATTTCACATGTGGATTTCCTGCATCCCCACAACTTGGTCCTTGCTGCAAACATCTGGAGCAACTCCTAGATCTGTCTGAATGGATCATCTTTATTTATTCCCCCTCCTCTGCAGGAAAGAGCCCCTCATCTCAGAAGCCTAGCATCAGAATGTTTAGTATGCAAAGCTCAGGTCCTATCTGCCTTCTGGGACAAGCTGTTATATGTTTATTGTGTAGTTAAGCAGGATAGGATCCCTGCCCCATCCTCTGATTCTGGCCCAGTTCCCATAATATGAATCCCAGAAGGGTCCCATAAAAGCATAATCTGCAATACAAAACCTAAAAAACATCTGGGACCAGATCACCTGTGCCCAAATTGAATATGAATAGTAATCCCTTTAGTCTGGCTGGTTCATTGTTCCCCTAGGGGTTCCTTTGCTCTCTTTCATAGGGAGCTTTGCTCTGCTCCAGGCCTGTCACTGGTGGTTTCTTTTCAGGCCATCTTTTCCTTCTCAGCTAACTATGCAAGGAGCTAAGACAACTGAGCCATGCCTTGGCCCCAGGCTATAGAAGGCTTTCTTTTGGGCCACCACCTAGCTCCCAAATAAAGACACAGAGACTTATTAGTTATGGATTCTCAATTTTATCTTATGCTTGTCTCACCAGCTCTTATAACTTAAACTAACATGTTTCACTTCATCTACATTTGGCCTCAAGACTTTTTACCTTTCATTTCTTATGTCCTACTCTGTGTCTGGCTGACTGGCAGCTGCCTGGCTGACTGGACCAGGTGTCTCCCTCTCTTTCTCTTTTGTTCTCTTCTCTCTTGAATGTAGATTCCTCTTCCTACTTATTCTCTCTGCCCACCAGCCCTGAATATCCCTCTCCTGCCTAGTCTAGCTATTGACCGTTCAGCTTTTTATTAGACCAATCAGGTACCTTAGGCAGGCAAGGTGAAATAGAAACACATCTTTACATAATTAAATAAATACAATATAAAACAGATGTAACAGATATTTGCCTAGTTAAAGTAATATTTCACAACACCAGGCCCTTGCTCTACATGTCCTCTTAGCCCTTCTTATCTGTCTGATGGCTGGGGATTTGATTTTAGGGAGTCTTCTGCTATCCCTTCTCTTGTGCTGGGACTCTTCAGTAGTAATTTCACCTCTATTAATGGACAGGCCCAGTGAGGAGTCCCTCACTCCCCAGTGCATGAGTTCACCTGTCATGGCCCAGGCAGGGACATATAAATATGTGCATACCCCATCCCCCCAGGTGCACTTTCACCCAGAAGTACAGTGGAGAGAGAAAAGCTGTTTTTCTGGTTAGGGTCCCAGGGGATTGCAAAATTTGGCAGGAAATTTTGCCGGATATATGATCTTAGAGGTTTTTTTCCCTGATGATGTGGATGTGCTATTTGAGGTGGTTGAGTTTGTGGCTCTGGGGAAGGTGAGCACACCTTTCCTCTCTTCCCTTGGTCCTGGTTTGGGATCTGACATCTTGTTTCTCAAGAACATTTGATCACAAAGACTCTCAAGCTCCCTTCTTGGCCCCATTCCTGAACTTTATCCATTGCCATAGTGTAGCTGCACAGCTTTAGACTACTTTTGTAATTTACTGACTGCCCTTTGCATTTGAGGACTGAGCGAGATGGGAGTAGGGACAATGGAGTGAAGCCCCATGCCTTGGAGAGGCTCTCTCAGAGGCAAGTCAAAGACTCTGCTGTGTGATCTGGGAGAAGTGAGAAGACTCCAGCTAAAACCTTCCTACCTGCTCTCCTAGGGCCTCCCTGGAAGT